AGCCACAGTTTCTCTGGGCAACCTGTGCCAGCGCCCCAGCACCCTCACAGGGAAGAACTTCTTACTTATATCCAACCTAAATCTACCCTCTTTCAGTTAAAAGCCATTTCCCCTTGTCCTGTCACTACATGTCCTGGTAAAAGGTTTCTCTCCATCTTATAAAGTCCCTTTTGTATTTTGAAAGATTGTTCTAAGCTCTCCCTGGAGCCTTCTCTTCCCCAGGCTGAGCTTTCTCTTCACATCCTTAGGCAAAGCACCTTGTTCCTTTGTTCCTCAGTTTCCCTGCTTGTTTTGTTACCTGTCTTAGCAATCACTGTGCTCCATGAAACCATTGCAAAAATCCTCTGCAAGAGCTCAGTGTTTAAGGCTGGTGCCTTCTGGCATGGCCTTATCCCTCTCCTCTGCTGTATTTAACACATGCCTTTCTTGGATGTCTCAGCTTGTTCTCCTGCATCAACTAATAATCTCTTGAGGGGAGAACAAGGCTGATGCTAACCTCATTTGACATCTCATGGCAGGGAGGGTAAATAGCACAACTGGGATTGTGCAAGGAGGAATCACTGTTGTCTTCACTCTTCGTAAAACTGCAAAAATGTTTAGGACCCAGCAGCCTCCATCACCTGCACCCCTTCTGTGACCCACCTTGAGCATTTGCATGTTGTATTGAGGTCCTTATGAAGAAGGTGCTGTTCCTGCCTTCCCCTCGATCATGCGTTTGAGGTGCTGGGTGCAGACTGGCGTGAGACTTTGCTCCAGCCCTTGGCTGTGCCCCAGACTCCCTGTGTAATCTCAAACCAGTTGCTCCAAACCAGATTTCCATGGGTGTAAAAAATCACAGCCTGCTCCGGCATTTAGGAAGTGCTTTGCATCCCTTTGGGACTTCCTAGTGCTTTGGGCACTGCCCACTTTTTTTTTTCCCCTTCTTTTTTAAGGAAAGAAGTACTTGTTGCTGATAGCAGTGATGAATTCAGCTTTAGCTGTGGGTCAAAACCACGAGCAAGCCAAGGGAAGACTGAAAAATAAAACTGAGAACAACTCCTTGGACTATAGATAAATATATATCCCTCTTCCAAATGCTTGTGAGCATTGGTCTTGGTTTCTTTGAGGGAGGGGAGAGGTTAGTGTGTTATACCAGAAAATTAGAATGTCATTAACAAATAAGTGGGTTTTCGTTCCCCTGTTGCAGCCAGTGTGTTTGTTCCCCTGCTCTGAAGTGGAGCTGAGCAGTGTGGGGCAGCTGGCTCACTTCTGCTGGCTTCAAGCCGCAGCACATCAGCCCTGTTGTTGATGTAGAAGAAAAGGATGCAGCAGGGTCGTGGCTTATTGTTTTTTTCCTTTTCTTCTCTCTGTGGAGTTTTGTTACAAGTGTTTTGACATTTTCCAGCCACAAGCTGTTTTTCAAAACTTATTTGTCTGTGAAATTTGTGTTGCTCAGCATAAACAGGCACTGTGTGCCTGTGTCCCAGCTCAGTGCAGCGTTCGGGTCTGCACTGAAAGTGAAACCTGTGTTTTGAAAGGTTTCCTGCAGGGAGGCTGGAGCTGTGTGAGCTTTCCCCTTTACACGTCCTGCTCCTTTGTAAGGAGAAACCTCGAAAGTTCCTTGCTCTAGTTTCTTTTTTCCCTTTAGAGAAGGGCTTTGTGGAGCTACATGTGGTGAACCCACACCAGCTGATTCACTGCCAGCATCCAGAAGGGATGAACCAGCCAGGCCCTGTTCAGAGTGGCACATGCAAACAAAAATGGACATAAAAGAGCCATATCTTTCTTTTCCTTTTCCAACAGAGGTAATCCAAGGTGACAATCCCACCTGTGTGTTTCTGTCTAGAGTGATTTGAACGTTCAGCATTGGGTTGGGTATGGTCATCTCTTCTTTTGGAGTTTTGGACTTGGTTAGAGTTAGTTTGGTATCTTTATGCACTGGGCTTGGTTCTAGAAATGAACACAGAATTTGTCCAAATGTTGTGGGTCTGGAGAACTGGCTGTAGACACCGAGGTGATGTAAGTGCCTGTTTAGCACAGGCCTGTAGCATTGCTGGAGTGCCCCATTTGGTCACTGTCCCAGCACTGGTTCTTCCCAGCCTTTCTGGAAACACAAAAAATACCATAAGCAGATATAAAAAGTATGTGTTTCGGATGATCCAACATGTTTACCCCGAATCTGCCTGGGTTTTTTTTAAGCTTTTCAACCGAATCGCCTCCAGCCTTGACTTCATGAACTTTGGTGGGTGTTTGCAGAACTCGAGGAGCTGTCAGTTTAAAAATAAACCTAAGGATGCGTGTCCAACTGAATTTCTTCATTAGAGACAAAGTTGTTTTACTGTGGGTCTGCTTTCCCTCTGAGAGGATGGAAAGTGTGCCTTCATGCGCTGGCAATCCAGGGTTAGAGATAAGGCCCTTTCTCAGGAAGGGCTGTCACCCACCCAGTCAGGGATTATCCCTGTGAAATGCAGGCAGCATGGAACTGAGCCCTCCCTGGCCTTACACCTCTAAGGGAGGTGGTGAGCACTTTCTTCTCCATGGGCATAGAACTACTATTTGAGGAAGCTTGTGTGCACTAGTAGGGACAGAGCCCTGTTTAACTGGGGTGGCTAAACCTGGTCTGGCAAGTAAAGAGGGTTTTGGTTTTCCTTGGAGATCATTGGAAAGTCCTGGAATGAGCCAGCAGATGCAAAAGGGCTGCTTGGCTCCGTCTGAGAGGCTGAATGAATGAAATGGGTCCCTGTGGTCTCCATCACTGCTAAACATGCACAAATAGAGAATGGGTAGAAGTGGCTTTTACTGGTCCCTAGTAAACACACAGCTGTTTATCCAGTCTGTTTGTGACTCTGCTGGCTCTTTGGGCAAATCTAATGATTTCTCTTGAGGTGAGCAACAGGTCAGTTCAGGGTGAGCATTTACTGTGTATAGTGAAGTGGTTCCTGATATACTTTGTATTTTCTAGGTCCTAACAAAGCAACAGCCACCACCACCCCAGCACTGTTGCTTTTAAAATCCAAGACTCTCTCTCTGCTTCCATTATAGGATACTTGCTTTACTTCTAATTTCTTTGCCCCAAATATTTCTGTGTTCTATTAAGCGTCGTTTGAGCTTTGCTTTGCTTGTTGGGTTTCCAACAGAAAAGTACTGGGGTAGAACCATGGGAAGCACTGAAGATGGACAGACATCAGACACTTAACATGTCTGCCTCTTTGATAATAGAACCTTGCTCCCAACTGAGTTCAGAGCACTCACAATTTTCCATTTTTATTAATGCATTTTATTAAAACTAACAGTTACACACACGAGTGTCCTCTTGTTTACAGAAGACATTATTTTCTGCCAAGCATGTTTATCAGCAATGTGGCATTTCCCCAAAGTCAGTGCGTCCAGTAGGCAGCTTGACCCTAAATAGACCAGATGCCCAGTAGCCTTAGGGGAGTGTCCCCAAGAACTCCTGTCAGCTTTGGATCTGCAAGTCAATCTGGGATGCAGTGTGAGACCTAACCATTTTCTGCTTTTCTTTCAGCAGCGGAATGTCAGGATCAAGTTTGAATATGAAGGAGAGAAAAGGTATGTACCGAAACCAGTCACCCACTTGTATGGGGACAAATTACCTATTTTACCCAATATCATCCCACTGACTTCAGCCAGCTGCAGATGAGCTCACAGAAGGATTTATTCCCCTAAAATCAACTAGAGTTTTATATGCAAGAGCTTTGCCTCATCATCCCATTTGTCACAAGTGTCTCCTGGGATTTGCATGCAGGCAAAATGGTTCGAAGCTGGAAGTCATTAAATGCCTCTTACCAGGGACATAGGGTGCACACTTGGATCCTTTTCTCTTTTTAATTCTTGAGCTCTGCTGACCCATAGCTGAGCTGGAACCCTACA